GCCTCGTCTACAGAATCGAGCACACGATCAACAATAAAAGTACAACAAAACTCGTCTACAGAATCGATTACTCAATCAACAAAGAAAGACCCCCAAAATAACGAGCCAGTCGCAGGTCGCCCAAGAGTCGGCAAGCGTCAATCCAACCCGGTGGTCGAAACTTTTGCCGGGAACAGGCAATCTTGGTTGCAATTTTTTACAAGCGGACCTCCAGCTCAGACTAACTTAGAAAAGATAGAAAAGAGTTCGAGCGTCAAGATGATCACTGACGGGAAACCTGATTTAGACGGTGCGACCAAAATAGCACTGGCGGCTGAAGAAGGGAAGACAAAACCTGTTGCTGATACACCGGTACTATTTCCATCGCCAAAGTTAAAGCCTGTACCGCTTAATGTTGTGATGCCAACATTTGACGAGTTTGCGGTGAATAAGCCCCGTAGGATCCCAAATTCACCAATTCAACAAGCCCTTCACGCCATCAATTCTTATTTCTTCCCACCCGATAAACCTGTCGAAGGTATTCTGCCCAGATGGCTTGACGAAATTACTCGTTCCACTGTTGATGTCAAACGTATTGCCATCATCGGTGTTCATGGATGGTTCCCTGCAAAGTTTTTAAGGGCCGTAGTTGGTCAACCAACGGGCACCTCGCCAAAATTCTGTGATATGATGGCAAAAGCTATATTGGGGTACCTTTCCCAACACAACATCAGCCTTCCAAGTGATGCGATCACTTGCATACCACTTGAGGGGGAAGGTACAATAGATGCTCGGGTGAAATTGTTGTTTAAAAATTTGACATATAATAAAACCTGGTGTGAGGCTTTATCTTTAGCGGATGTTGTTTTTGTCGCAACACATTCTCAAGGGACACCTGTCAGTACAATTCTTCTCTCCCGACTTATCCAGGAACGTTTGGTGTTCCCCAATAGACAGCGTATATGCATGTTGGCTATGGCAGGAATATCACATGGGCCTTTTCCTTATTTGTTAAAGCATCATCTGGTAACATATTTTGTTGGTGCGTCGGATGCAGCCAGGGAACTATTTGAATTCATGGACACGGAAAGCATGGTTTCTAAAAGATACCACGAATCACTTAATGTTGTGATCAAAAGTGGTGTCAAAATAGTGTATGTCGCGTCTCTGGATGATCAGGCAGTGCCGGTATGTAACTTAAACGGATTTTGCTCGATGCAAAACTACATACGTCAATCGGTAAATATGGATAAATATCAACGTGTCCTTTGATTTGAATTTTGTAGCTGTATTCTGGATTGTTCACGGGCCTCGATCATCCATCAATTCTACGTGCAATTTATATTGATGGTCCGTTATACCAAGAAAATGACTTCCTAACGAATTTAATAGTTTTCGCCATACGGTTGCGAAACGCTGGTATAATTGATCACGGTTTAATAGTTCAGCTAAGTGAGGTAGCCGCAGGTCCAGTGTATGGTGAAGGTCATTCGGCCTTGTACACAGAGATTGATGTTTATACGTAAGTCATCGG